CATTGTAAAAGGGCTGGTATAATACCATCTGGTCCTGGTGTCTTGAACGGCGAGAAACTGTTAATGGCCCACCGTATTTTATCCTCCCTGCAGATCTTTGATACTCTATATACCAGTACACATTCTAAATAGTCTTTCTGCTCATTCCTCAGGGTTAAAACCCACAAGGGCAGTTACTAAGCTACTTAATGCACCCAGTACATACTTCGGGAGGAATAACTTGATACGAATTTCAGGTTTATATCTAAATAACAGGAATTAGTAACATGCAAAGTGCTTGAGGTAAGTTAGAATCAAATAAAGGGATGCGAAAATATATAGTATAAGTAAATTAAAAAAAAAACTCAAATAAATATAAATAAAATCATAACTCAATTAACTTATCTTTTGATAAGTTATCAAATAAAAAATACAATTTATAATAGACTTACATTAAATAAACAAAAATTATGTCACAAATTGAAGGTAAAAGAAGCATAATAGTTTTACCATTTCAAATCAATAAATGGACTTTGTTCATTTGCTCTATTTGCTTTTCGTTTTCACAAAATCTCAAAAAAAAAGTAGCAGCATTGTTCTTTCTGATTGCGTCATTACCTCCTTACGTAAACAGACGAGTTCACAAAAATCAACAAATCGTATTTGAGAGCCGATTTAGAAAGCATTTACTCTTGTTTGTTCTGGCAAATAGAAACGTTCAATAAATCCTAGAACTTGTTTCAAACGTAGATTCATTCTTCAACGATTCCTTAGAAGAGACGTTTTAAAAAATGAAATGCTATCTATTCATACCAATTTGGGTTTGTATTCAAACGACGTATGCCCAATTATATTTAGACGCTTTAAAGTCTATTATTGGGACTTTAAATGAACCACCTGCTATTACTGGAATGTTATGTAACAAAAATGGTTCGTATAAAGAAAAATTTGTAACAAAAAATAATTCAAATTTTATAGATTTTATTGCGCTCTTTAAAACATTTGCTGAAACTGGGGTTAAAATTCGAATTGGAAATGAAAAAGTGTTTGAAAAAATTAATTTGTATCAATACGCCATCTATATTTTAGACGTTGAATGTAATTTGACATTAAACGTTTTGGAAAATGTAAATTTCTTTATGTGTATAATAAGTTGCCTAAATTTGAGTTTTTAGGCCGAACATTTTAGGTTATTCTCTCATCCAAATCGTTGGGTTATTATCTTAAAAGAGAGTAATAATAACGATAAATATTTAGCAGAATTATTTGCAACAAAATCCATTTTACCCGACAGTGAAATCATGGTTTTAATCAAAAACGATTCATCGCAACACCTCAAAATAAATAAAATTTATAAACCATCTTTAAATTCTTCATTAATAACAGAATATTTTGGGGTTTGGACTAAAACTAATTATAAAGTAACCCCAACAGATTCAATTACAGCGATAAGAAGAAAAGATTTAATGGGAATTCAAATCAATACTTGTTTAGTGATAACCCATAATGATACTTTAAATCATCTCTTAGATAAAAGGTACTTTAACTCTAGAAAGCTAAATTATCGCAAAAATTACGAGTTCAATAAAGATATACAGCTTAAAGATGTCCAAAAGTGTCCAAAAACTTTCTAATGGTCTCTATAATTATCAAATAGTGTTTAAATGGTTTCTAGACCGTGATAAAGATTACCAGAAGATTTTTAAGAATGTCCAGAAATGTTCAAAAAGTTTTTAATGATTTTTTGCTCGTCTCTCAAGAGGGCTAAACTTGAATGTTTCTAGTTCTAGGTCTAGTGTTAGTTCTAGGTTTACACTAGCACTATTACTAGAACTAACACAAAACCTAGAACTAGAATCATTCGGGTCTCAAGATGGCTAAACCCGAATGATTCTAGTTCTAGGTCTTGTGTTACTTCTAGTAATGGTGCTAGTGTAAAACTAGAACTAACACTAGACCGAGAACTAGAAACATTCGGATTTAGCCGCACGTCTCTCAAGACGGCTAAACCCGAATGATTCTAGTNAATCAATACTTGTTTAGTGATAACCCATAATGATACTTTAAATCATCTCTTAGATAAAAGGTACTTTAACTCTAGAAAGCTAAATTATCGCAAAAACAGCTTAAAGATGTCCAAAAGTGTCCAAAAGCTTTCTAATGGTCTCTATAATTATCAAATAGTGTTTAAATGCTTTCTAGACCGTGATAAAGATTACCAGAAGATTTTTAAAGATGTCCAGAAATGTCCAAAAACTTTTTAATGATTTTTTTGCTCGTCCCTCAAGAGGGGTAAACTTGAATGTTTCTAGTTCTAAGTCTACTGTGTCAGTTCAATAAAGATATATTATAGAACAATCTGGCGCTGTTTAACAAGTAAAACTAGAACTACTACTAAACCTAGAACTAGAAAGTTTCGGGTGTAGCCGTGCGTCTCTCAAGACGGCTAAACCCGAATGATTCTAGTTCTAGGTTTTGTGTTAGTTCTAGTGATAGTGCTGGTGTAAACCTAGAACTAACACTAGACCGAGAACTAGAAACATTCGGATTTAGCCGCACGTCTCTCAAGACGGCTAAACCCGAATGATTCTAGTTCTAGGTCTTGTGTTAGTTCTAGTGATGGTGCTAGTGTAAAACTAGAACTAACACTAGACCGAGAACTAGAAACATTCGGATTTAGCCATTCGCCTCTCAAGATGGCTAAACCCGAATGATTATAGTTCTAGGTCTTGTGTTACTTCTAGTAATGGTGCTAGTGTAAAACTAGAACTAACACTAGACCGAGAACTAGAAACATCGGATTTAGCCGCACGTCTCTCAAGACGGCTAAACCCGAATGATTCTAGTTCTAGGTCTTGTATTAGTTCTAGTAATAGGGCTAGTGTAAACCTAGAACTAACACTAGACATAGAACTAGAAACATTCGGGTTTAGCCATTCGCCTCTCAAGATGGCTAAACCCGAATGATTCTAGTTCTAGTGTTACTTCTAGTAATGGTGCTAGTGTAAAACTAGAACTAACACTAGACCGAGAACTAGAAACATTCGGATTTAGCCGCACGTCTCTCAAGACGGCTAAACCCGAATGATTCTAGTTCTAGGTCTTGTATTAGTTCTAGTAATAGTGCTAGTGTAAACCTAGAACTAACACTAGATCTAGAACTAGAAACATTCGGGTTTAGCCATTCGCCTCTCAAGATGGCTAAACCCGAATGATTCTAGTTCTAGGTTTTGTGTTAGTTCTAGTGATAGTGCTGGTGTAAACCTAGAACTAACACTACACCGAAAACTAGAAACATTCGGATTTAGCCGCACGTCTCTCAAGACAGCTAAACCCGAATGTTTCTAGATCTAGGTCTAGTGTTAGTTCTAGTTTTAGTTCAATAACAACATACAATCTAGCACTATTTAGTGCTTACAAACGTTACTCAACCACTGTCACTAGAACTAACACTCTATTTAAAAATAAAATCTTTCGGCTTTAACCGTTCGCAAGATTAAACGGTGGCCTTTGTGCGTATTGCATTTAATTCTCAACATTGTACTTGTGGAAACCGGTTTCAAAATGAAAATTTGCCATGCAAATACACCACAACCTTATCGAGCCATTGTTTCAACAGCAATTACAGTACTCAACTTTGACTCGCAAATTCTGACAATCTATTCGGATATCTTGAAAGTTTCGGTGCCAGACAGACCATCTTCAAAACCTACCATATAATTACCATATAATAACATAATTTCTTTTGTATATATATTTAATTTGTTGCAGAGATGGACACATTGATTCTATAGCCAAAGTAAATTACGTCTTTATGCTTCATCTTTCCAATTGGTTAAATGTAACAATGAATTATTCAATACAATCCACTTGGGGTTACAAAAATGATATTGGTGCGTGGAGTGGGATGCTTGGAGAATTAACAAGAAAAGAAGCCGAAATCGGAGGAACACCCCTATTCTTTACATCCGATCGGATAGAAATAATCGATTACATAGCGATGACAACACCAACTAAATCAAAATTCGTTTTTCGTCAACCCAAACTATCTTACATCACAAATGTGTTTACTTTACCTTTTCAAACCAGAGTGTGGATCGCTTCTATATTTTTAGTTATTCTAATTATGCTGGAGTTGTATTTTATACTGATATGGGAATCGCATAAATTGAAATTAATCAAAGTTAGTTTAGCTTAAATTTAATTTATTTTAATTTATTAAATAATGTGGGTTTTAGATTGAATCAACTGACGATTTGGAACCTTCATTATCAAACGTCTCACTATTAGCAATTAGTGCAATTTGCCAACAAGGTTCGTCAGTTTTACCAAATACAACTCCTGGAAGAATAATAACTTTATTTTTATTCACATCGTTAATGTTTCTTTATAATTCGTATTCGGCGAATATCGTCGCATTGTTGCAATCATCTTCAACGAGCATTCAAACTTTAGAAGATTTATTACATTCAAGATTACAAGTTGGTGTTGATGACACAGTTTTTAATCATTTTTATTTTCCGGTAATAAATTAATTTCTCAATACCATTTTTGTCCTTTCAACACTTTTTAGAGTGTTCCATAGAACACTCAAATATCAGTGAATATACAGGGTGTCTCACGTAACTGGTCCGTTTTTCGTTTTGGAGTTATTTTGATTTTTTTTAAGGTTTTTTTGGCAAATTTCACCATGCACTTTAAAACCCTATATCAGAGCCAACGTTCATTCAAAAAAGCTCTAAATTAGCACGATTACCCGTCAGATGCTCTCAAATAGATTGTCATATATTGTATCAGAGTATCTTATACAGGGTGGTCAAAAATTGAATTACCGTTTCTCCATATTCAATGGGGAGAAAGTCGAAAATTTTAAATGGAACGCCCTATATTTTATTAGCCTACACGAAAGGGAATTTAATTCTCTATAATTTATCTATAAACATTCGTATACTTATTTATTGTAGTTTCTCTCATATTCGTAAATTTATCAAAACATGCAGAAAATGCAGGAAACCGTTTGTATTTTTATTAGAAGGCCATAACATTTTGATAGNCTTTTTTGAATTAAAATAAAATAAAAATAATACTATATTATGGAGGAAAAGAGTTTATTAAAAATTAAAAAAATTCTCCACGTTATAAAAGAGATAAAGTTTTCATTTGCAAACTCGCAACCAACAAAGGTTATTTGAGCTAATTAAAAACACAATTAAACTTCTGTCTAGGTTCAAATTTCGTCTGACGGATGTACTTTATAAGAAATAAAGTAAAAGATTTTTTTTAAATTAAACTTTCATTTTGTTTCTTTCAAAAACGAACGGCTTTTAATAATTAATTAAAGTGTTAAACGATAAAATGAGAAGAAATTTACGGCCCTTCAAGTTGTAAAACGTTGTTGCACTTAAATTTTATTTTCGTTGATCCGAAACGTTTAAATTTATCATTCAAAAAATCGTTAAATAATCAACGACATCCGGTTAACAATTATTATAGAAGCGGAAACGGTTTACGAGAACAATGTTGTTTTTGTGAATAAATAGAGAGGAGAGTTCCGGTTTAATAATACAGTGCAAAGTTACTGCAGCAGTTCGCTTTGTAAAAGGGACCCTCTATTGCAAGACGGTCACCACCTGCTAACTTTGACTTCGGACCGGACTCGAAATCCTTCTCTTCAGCACCCGAGTTTAATTGTAGATGAACTACGGGGACTCTCGGTGCTTTTGATTGTTCCGAATTAGTATTTTCGAGTTTTAATTAGTTTCAAGGTACGTTTCTCCGACTGCAAAGTTTCTTCTGCTTCTTAACTTAACTTAAGACATCGTGCCCAAGGAGAACTTATTTTTACTTTGATTTTAAACTCATCATAAAAAAAAGATTCAATTCAAGTTGTGGATTGAACCACTCCTGCAGAATTTCCAAAGAAAATAATAAATAAATAAAGAAGATTGGGGAAGGAAGAGTTGAAATGGCGTTGGGGTGGACTTAGTTTTCTTTTCAATTGTATTGGATTGTATTTGCGCGAACTCGTTGAGATGTAAGTCGGTTATGCAACAGTTATAACACAAACTACGTCATAACCTGTTCCCCCACCAATCCTTAATCTCCTAAGCGCATGCGCATATTAGACAAGATGGCCGCTTCTCCACTTATGCTACCCACCGACCATTGGAATTGGAAGCGCAAAAGCTACGTTCATCTAAAACTCTAGGATACTTGGCTTTTAATACTATCTAGTGGGGTTTAAATAAGATGGGTTCACTACTATCCGTGCAAAAAGTCAAGGCCCCTCACTTTAGAGATCGATATCTTCGTAACCGCTCGATGGAAAAAATTGCTGTAAAGTTTATTGTAATCAGTGAACATTTCTGCGTATCACATGTTAATTTGGAAATTTTCGGGTCCGCGGTTTTACTTTTATCGCGAGTTAAGTGAAAAAAGTACCCGATTTTTGAGAGTGCCAGCAACTTTGTCTACTTTGCGATTTTTTCTCTCCAAAACTATTTGACGAAAAAATTTCAAATTTGAACTGGTGGTAAACCGATGTGTTCTTAATGTGGGGCATATTTTATTTTTTCGATATTCCATATAGTTTCGCAGAAAATCGCGGTTTAGTAGGATGCGGTTATTTCGAAAACGACCTAGCGAATTTCAACGAGGTTTTTACCAAAATATGTCAAATAACGTTATCAGTTTTTCAAAAATAAGGCTCCTTAATTTTTTAAGAGCGATTTAATGGAATTACAAATTAAAGAGAAACAGAAATCAGCTATGCGGGAAGAGGAAGGTTCCGTCCAATCGGAACAGTGCACAGTACGTCGCGCCTTTATCTTGCCAATATAAAGAAATAAGGCGCGACGTTCTGTCTGGGACGCACCATCTGTTCCGATTGGCCGGAACCCTCGTCACCCCGCAGAGCTTATTTCTGTTTCGTTTTAATTTGTAATTCCATTAAATCGCTCTTAAAAAAATAAGGAGCCTTATTTTTGAAAAACTGATAACGTTATTTGACATATTTTGGTAAAAACCGCGAGGAAATCCACCCAACCGTTTTCGACATAACGGCGTCTTACTAAACCGCGATTTTCCGCGAAACTGTATGAAATATCGAAAAAATAAAATATGCCACTCATTGAGAACACATCAGATTACCACCTGTTCAAAATTAAAATTTTTTCGTACGATAGTTTTCGAGAAAAAAAATCGCAAAGTTGATAAAGTTGCCGGTTCCGTAAAAAATCGGGTACATTTTTCATTTAACTCGCGGTAACAAGAAAACCGTGGATCCGAAAATTTTCAGATTAACATAAGTTACGTAGAAATGTTCAGTGATTACAACAAACTTTGTTGCAATTTTTTTTATGGAGCGGTTGCGAAGATATCGATCTCTAAAGTGAGGGGCCTTGACTTTTTGCACGGATAGTAGAGACATGCTT